AAGCATATAAGTCAAACATGTGCCAGCCCCTCTTAATTAAGAAGGAGATTATGTTTAATGATCAGGTGTCGCCTCCCCTTTGCTTTTACTGTCAAGAGCTTGAAAACATCGATCACTTTTTACTTACCTAATTGCTGACGTTTCACAATTGCTGACGTTTTGGGCCACAGTAACAGGAATGTGTGCATGGCTGTTTGCGAATTTCGTAGATGTAAGAAGATTTACTTAACTTTATTTCTACCGGCCATAATCTAGTACTTTAGAATTCTTATTTATTTATTATTTTCAGGTAATAGGTCTGGACTTTTTATTTGTACTTAGCCTTATGATTGTTCGATTTCCATAATCTCTAGATGACTAATAATTAACTTTCCTTTATCTAAACTTTAAATTCGTTTTTCCCGTTATATTAACCACCAGTTTAATGGCACTCCCCCGTGGTGGGTCCGTGCCAAACGTGCAAGCAAGCAAGCAAGCAAGCAAGCAAGAGGTCGGCTTGCAGAAAGCTGGTTTCTAGCGTGCTACACAGAGATGTGCGTCCTCACAGATATGTGCACATTGATCCAGTGACGATTCGCGGTTTGATTCGCAGCACAAATGAACACTGGAAACTACAGGCGCCGTGTCCGAGCTATGCAAACCGAAGTCTGCCCTTTCCCTGTTCGAACGGATGCTTTGTGCTGCACGATGGCAATCGTGTGTTGTAACCGAAGGTAAGATTTTATTGTCGTGCGAGTGATTTCCACGTGTGACGTTTGATTCTTGCCCTCTTGCAGCACCAAAGCTTGTCGTGGTCGTAGCTCTCCTCCGGTTCTGGTGGTAGGACCCTCGGGATACATGCATCGAATAATGTGACGTACAACTAGCCGTCGACGACCATGCTGACGCCAGTCTTGAACGCCAGCTTCCACCCTTTGGCGTTAATACAGAGTTCCACGAAATGCACGCTTGCTTCGTGCGATGTCATTGCTGTCCAGCCTCTTGATCCACCTCTCGCATTGATAGCAATTAGGAAGTCAAGAACGCCGAATTGCGACGTGCACGCTCCAATCCCCTAGCTCACGTCGAATATCCGCAATAACATGCATTGTAGTCTGCGTGCCGATTTAGCCCTGTCCGGCATTATAAGTTGACATCTTCCTTCGTCCGGCGCGAGACCTACGGATAAAATGCGGGCTTCTCAAAATATTCCACGATAACTGCAGATACTGTTGTACTACAGTCGAAGCATTTTTCTGAAGTTCGGGTACACGTACGCTGGCACAATCCGCTCTACGTATGAAGGACATAGTGTCGATCCTGCCGCACTACCCGGTCCAACAATAGGCTGCTGTGATTCTCCATTACATCATTTTCATCTTCAATCGCGTCGAAAGCAAGTGCGTAGAACATCGCAACGGTCTCGTTTGCGAAGCCTCGAGTTCGCTCGCTCGATTTCGTGCCGACCAGTTGTGCCTTCACGATCGCCGACGACAGCGTACCTCTGGCCGACGGGACTCGTCCTACGCCATCTCCTGACGCCGATAAGAGCTCTCGTTGAGTGGTGTCCCGTCCTCGGACTTCTGCGACCGTATCCATCTTTCCTATCTTCTCTTTACTTCCTTTACGGTGTCTAGAAATATACTGCCTTGTGTGCTGAGCGCGGACTAGGAGACGGCCCCGTAGCTGATGACTGCCGGTGGTGCCCGCACGGTGCGCTGCTGAGCGAGTGGGTGCATTTGCGTTCAATCCTTGCGCTCCTCAAGCGCTGCCGAAGTCTGCAGGAGGCCGAGCCGCGCGAGGTCAACTATTACTTTTCTGCATTTCCGGAGTGTTTTTTTTTACATAATGCTTTATTGTATAAGAGCTACTCGATTGCTTTCACTGTACTAGCGCCATTTCACTGTACTAGCGCCACTGTACATTTCGCCATCCGCTGCTGCCCGCAAAAAAAAAAAAAAAGATGCAGATCCCACGTAACTTTGGGAATCAATGCTATGCAAGGTGACTCTATGGTAATTTTTAATAAGTGAAAGATTATGAAGTGGCGTTAAATATATGGAAGAAATTGGGTAGTCAACACTGGGAGTAGCATGGGCGTTTCACGAACATTTGGCTCTTCTTGCTAAGTATTTCGAAGACCCCAAGTTAAGGGGGTGGTCGTGAGGGCACCCAGACGTAGGCGATTAGATATATATATATATATATATATATATATATATATATATATATATAAAGATATTATAAAGATATATATAAAGATAGATATAAAGATATATATAAAGATATATATATATATAGTATATATATATATAGATATATATATATATAGATATATATATATAGATATTATATATATAGATATATATATATATTAGATAATATATATATAGATATATATATATAGATATATATATATATAGATATATATATATATAGATATATATATATGATATATATATAAGATATATATATAGATATATATATAGATATATATATAGATATATATATATAGATATATATATAGATAGAGACAGACAGACAGACAGACAGGACAGACAGACAGACAGACAGACAGACAGACAGACAGATAGATAGATAGATAGATAGATAAATATAGATAGATAGATAGATAGATAGATAGATAGATGATAGATAGATGCAGACCGACAATAGATCGATAGATAGATAGATTAGACAGAATCGATGGACACGACAGGACAGAAGACAGACCAGACGACAGACAGGACAGACAGACAGACAGACAGACAGAAGACAGACAGGACAGACAGACAGACAGACAGACAGACCGGACAGACAGACAGACAGACAGACAGACAGACGACAGACAGACAGACAGACAGACAGACGATAGATATAAGATAGATATATCGACTAGATCGATAGATAGATAGATAGATAGATAGATAGATCGATAGATAGATAGATAGCTAGATAGATAGATCGATAGATAGATAGATAGATAGATAGATAGATAGATAGATAGATAGATTAAGATAGATAGCTGATAGATAGATAGATAGATAGATAGACGCTAGATAGATAGATAGATAGATAGATTAGATAGATAGATAGATAGATAGTAGATAGATAGATAGATAGATAGATAGATAGATAGATAGATAGATAGATAGATAGATAGATAGATAGATAGATAGATAGATAGATAGATAGATAGATAGATAGATAGATAGATAGATAGATAGATAGATAGATAGATAGATAGATAGATAGATAGAAGATAGATAGATAGATTATAGATAGATAGATACTCAATGTGCGTTCAGTTCGCTTAGAAATGCTTCGGATTTATTAGCAGACATTTTGACATTTCAGCCTTATCTTGTGTCCATGTCTCACCCAGCATTTTTAACCCTTTGCAGCCCAGTGTCCACACATGTGTACCGAAAATATCTGTGCAGTGGAATCCGAATAGCCAATGCATTGTCGTAAAGATCGGTTTAGGAAGTTACTCACTCAGAATTTCCCAAAAAACATATGTAATCCCACTTGTGAACATCTGTGAACAAGCAGCGGTAAGGGTGCACAGTACAGTGGCGTTATATTTTCAAGTCGCCTGTAGAGGTGAATTCCTGCACAATTTTGGTAAGTTCGCTTTAAAGTCAAAGTGAATGTTAGATTACTCGGCTTTAGTCAAAAGAAAAAGAAGGGTTAATTTTGTTTTCCTGTATGCTTTCTAAGAAAGCACTGTGAACGACTATAACTTTTTAAGTTGAGTTGTTGCATGCAGCCTCCACATTTGTAGACCCCAGGCCTAACGAATTCGATCAAGAAGATAAAACGCCGAGTGGTAGCAGGAACCGCTTCGTCGCCGAGTGACTCTGCACAAAACATTGTATTATAGCTCAATACACTTCTTGTAAGTTATGTTTAGAATTTATTCGCTTTATTCTCTACGTACATAAAGCGATGAAGATGCCATAATTTCCGAGACGACTAGCGACAAATGTTCTGATAGGAGAGCAGCAACAATCATCGAGTCTAAGCATAGCCATCAACAAGTGAAGGCCCGTTAAACAATGCTACTGTGATGATGAAGCAACGAGTTTGAACATAACCATGAACTTTTTGGTAATGATCAATGACGATAAATATGACAACGAACACGAAGTAGAACTGTGGGCAAGCAATGTGCCTTGAATGGCGAAAGTAATGCTGTTGATCAAAGCGTTGAACATGAGGGTTACGGCGTTAGTGATGAGACAAATATGATGAAAATAATTCAGAGTCACTAACAAGTAGCCACATGAATGGTTACGATATTATTGATGAACGCTTTGATTACGGTAACTAGTGATTATGGTAATTGCGTTTATCCAAAGTAGTCGACAGGTAATGTTATCGCGCACAATGAAGAAGCATTATGCACCTGTAGTAAATGGTGTACCCAATGACCACATATGTGGATCACCTGTTCGTTGTTTGTTTTGCTCTTTTTTCTTAAACTAAAGGTAAATTTTTCAAGTTTTCGGTATCCCCCCCCCCTTTCGCATTAATTTGTACTGCTTATACACACAATACTTCCGCTGAATTGGCTGTGTGAAACAAAGGGTTCAAAAGACGATATGAGTCATCAAGTAGCTACCTTCAATAGTATTCTTTCCATTCTCAAGAATAAGTTCTTTTGCCAACAGCCTTGGGTGCCGCTAATTTGTTTTATATTTCTTTTTGTAGGAACGAAACACCGTTATATATATATATATATATATTTCTTTTCTTTAGAACATGGTCTATCGTTGAGCCTTCTATAAGTCTATCACAAAGAAGCTATGGGCGCAGGCGCTGTCATCCCGCTAGCACTGAACTGTCATGAATTATTGGTACATTACAATCTATATTTTGGGCGGTATGTACCACCCAGTTTGCTTTTCATCAATCGTCGTAATCATCAACATAAAAGAGCACGCACACACAATCTTTTTTTTTCTCCTTGCACCAACGCATAAAAGCTCTTTCTCGTCGATTAAGTGGGCAAAAAATGTTTAGGCATATTCTTTTTATTAGAAAAAAGGTATCTTTCAAGATTGTACCATGATTTGTAAATGTCGAAGTTTATATGTCTGTGTTCCCGTAGAAACACAACTTCTGGATATTTAAGTGTCATGAAGGGATAGCCCATGCATGTAGAAAAAATAGCTCTCATCCACCCTGTACGTTGCCTCAACGAAATTTTCAAAGCCACATGCAAGTGCACAAAGTCCATTTCATAGGCGTGCCAACAAAAACAACTGCGCAATTTGATTTTAAGCATAAAATGTGTGGGCTGTTTCCAACACCTCACACCACAAATGTTACATATCAAGCAGTATAGTATATCCCAAAAGAGCTAAATAGATTCTCCTGGAATGCTCTCTAAATAAATCCCACGAATAAAAACAGACTGTGACGCAATGCAATTTGTTGCTGTTTATACACATTATTTCGTATATACATGGTACCAAAAGTACAATAAAAGAAAAAGCAGCGACAGTATAAAACCCCACGGTACATCTTGCGTAGAAAATCTATGGACGGCCTAATTATTATCCCCTTAGTTTGGGCGTGCCACTATACGGTATAGAGACTGGGAATCATCTGTGCATATATGGATGTTCAAAGAGATGTATAAACGACGCCGGGATGCTACCCTACTCGTACTGCATGCGTTAGTAATTTTCAAAGTTGATGCACCATTTTTGCACAAGCGAATAATCGGAACACGTGTCCCCTTCGGGGCACTCGGGTGGAACGCAGAGGAAAGTCTTTCAGGTATGGTGGACGTTCACGGGCTGCCATTCTCGATAAACAATATACAAGGAAGATGCCGTATATGGCCCCACAGCGGAGTGCCGCACCGCCACCCTCGTCGTCATCCCACAGCCACTGCAGCGACGTCGCTGCAGTAGTCATCGAACGACAGTGTGGCGGCGACAGCGCGACTCCGCGGGGCCGGACGTCTACACCATTCTCTAGTCGTTCGAATATAAGCGCCCTTTCTGGAGCGCTTTTACCAGTGTCCTTCCCGTTCGCTCCAGGTAGAGCCAAGCTGGCCGGATGTTGACGTGGTCCCAGGAATCAGTCACTGCAACACCAACAGCACAGAGCCATGCACAGCGTGCAGAGGCAGCAGTTCTTCCAGCAATCGTCATCCTTCTTTTTTTCGTGCACGACCCTGCATGAAAAGAGCAAGCGCGCATTGAAACGAATAAAGCTCTTGTGTTTCCTTCAGCTTTAACTTCATTATTGTTGGACGGACAAAATAGCTTTCGAGACTGCTGCTGCTACTGCCGATTTGGATGCCTTGACAGGAGGAGACTAACCTTGTAAAACCCATAGCTCCGCCGCGGTGGTCTAGTGAATAAGGTACTCGGCTGCTGACCCGCAGGTCGCGGGATCGAATCCCGGCTGCAGCGGCTGCATTTCCGGTGGAGGCGGAAATTTTGTAGGTCAGTGTGCTCAGATTTGGGTGCACGTTAACGAACCCTAAGTGGTTGAACTTTCCGGAGCCTTCCGCTACTGCGTCGCTCATAATCATATGGTGGTTTTGTGACGTTAAACCCCACAAATCAATCAATGAATAGTGCAAACCATATAGCGCTCACCAAAGCGGGTATCATCGCCACTGATAAGTAAGTATTTGTAATTTTGAAGACAATAGTCTTTCTTGAGGTACTTCGACGCAAATTTTTGGTCTGTCTGTCTGTCCTTTTGTCTGTCCGCCGAAACGATACCCGAAACGGCCAAAATTTAACCCCATTCGCAGTGCACACCAATATTGGTCAAATTTCAGCATTGCTACATGTTTAATTGTCAATTAAAGAGCAATTATTGCGCATATCTGAGGCAGAATAACAACGCGTCAATATTCTGTATGTGTCTCTTTCTTCTAGAGAACGTACAGATAAGTAATTCTAAGGACCGTGGCGTTTATCACGTTACGCTGACAATGCAATGCTATGCATGAAAAGGCAAGTGTTTCCAACGCTTTACTAAGACGACACGGTGGTGGCACCTACCCGTCGCTTTGCGTTCTACACGTTACCTCCTCCGAGACAGGCGCGCACGCCATCCTTCGTTTTCGAAGATAACTGCCAGATAGCGCTCATGTCTCACGTGCCTCAATGCGCTTGTTTGCCTCCACTGCACGCATTGATGCACTGTAGCGCAGCTCCTCCAGAACACAATTCACCGATTTCCTCGCGCAGAACATCAAATAAACGGTCTGTTCACTTTCTCCAGACGCAAGAATATCGCAAGAATGACATTTGCAGTGAAACATGCAGATACGGGGCCAGATTTTTTTCAGGTGTTGTTTTATTTGGACATTATTAGTCATACAAGATTTACCATGCGAACGAAATGAGGCACAAGGAAACAGGTAAAGCATGCTTTCTGGCGAGGTCTACATTCCGGGTCACGAAAACAGGACAGTTGGGTGCTCGGCGACACAATATTTAAAAAAAGCGGGAAAGACAAATGTATCACGTGAAAAATAATCCATCAAACATGGACGAAGGTCCACCAAACGATGTATTCGTCATTCAGTCTTCCTCCCGCACGAATACAAGCTATATTGTCGAAACATTGGTGCCAGCGACGTTCGTTTCAACAATTTCTCAATAATAACTATTGTTATTGAGAAATTGTTGAAACGAACGTCGGTGGCACCAATGTTTTGACAATAGCACTCAAGGCGTATTCATTATAGGACATACATTTCAGTATATATCTATCAGCAGAGCTCATGGTAAGGTAACCAGCACAAACGTAGATCAAAGACCATGCAGACAGGGCCAGTACCATCTACAGCCTTCGTTCTGTGTCTGCGCTGTTGGCAATGTTAGACCAAAACTTGAAATTTACTATCGTAAGTTTGCCTGTTTGCTCTAATGCTCAAGAGTTCTTGTCTTAATTGGTAACCCGCGGAAATTGACCACCTCGCAAACAACAATTTCATACCATATAGGAGTATTGACTACCGGTGTGAGCTTGGTTCACACTAAATGAAAGTGGACAAGTGTTTTTATTGATCAGGTGTTTGTTTCCCTGTCTGACTATAGTTACACAACCACGGGCGGGCAGCAGCATGGTCAGTGTAATATGTCTTAAACTGGGCGTGCCCTGTTTCAGAGTAAGAAAAACATGTATGTTTTATAAATTATACATTGCGTATTAAGCGTGTCTTTCTACCATGCTTGCACTGGAAGCCAGAATGCAATCTATGACAGAGTTGAGTAACACAGGCATGGTAGAAATTAGTTCTAATGAAGTAATTTGTAAGCCATTTCTCCACCAACAAGGATTTACCAAGGAACTCGCACACTTCCTTGAAAAAATAAACTAACAAAGGTTATGTAGATAAGTACAATTTGCCAGCGTACAGATTTTGGTTTGTCCTCTCTTCCTTTTTGTTTATTCGTGCGTTTGAACTGACAGTTATACCATGCATATCCAGCTAGCCCTACTTTCTATTCTGTTAGTTTTACCCTTGCGTTATATTTTGAAATCCTACAGAAGATAAGTTCATTAACTATACCTTTTTTACATAGGCTGTCTACATTTATTTTATGCGATACAAAGCGCCACATTGTTAATCACCCTTAAATACTACACATTTCTGCGATGTGTCTCTTAACGGGAAGGGTACCAGAATCTTGGAGGAACACCAACATCATTTTAATCCATAAAGAACGAAACGTCAAGGACTTGAAAAATTACAAGCCGGTCAGCTTACAGTCCGTTCTCTACAAACTATTAACAAAATTATTATCTAATAGAATTAAGACGACATTGGACTTCAATCAACCAAAGGACCAAGCATGATTTTATACAGGCTACTCCACAACAGACCATATTCATACTATAAATAAGGTAATAGAAAAATGCGCGTAATACAGCCAATCCCTATACATAGCTTTCATGCATTACGAGAAGGCGTTTGACTCGATCGAGACAGCAGTAATGCAGGCACTACGGAATCAGGGCATCGTAGAACCCTACATAAACATACTGGAAGAAATCTACAGACGATCCACTGCTATCACACTTTTCCATAAACAAAGTGACAGAATCCCAATAAGGAAGGGTGTAAGGGAGAGAGAAAGGATCTCCCCAATGCTATTCACCACATTTTTAGTGGAGGTTTTCAGGACCCCAAATAGGAAAGAGTTAAAGCTAAGAGTTAATGAAGAGCATCTTAGTAACCAGCGATTTGCTGATGACATTGCCTTGATGAGTAACTCAGGAGACGAATTACAGCTCATGATTACTGAATCAGACATGAAAAACAGGAGAGTAGGTCTGAAATTATCATGCACAAAACTAGGATAATGTGCTACAGTCTCGGCAGAAAACAGCACTTTGCGATAGGTGGCGAGATGCTGTAAGTCTACATATGAAGAGGAATATGTCTACATATTACAGGTAGTAACCGTGAAGCCGAATCATGAGAGTGAAATGACTAGAAGAATTCCTAAATCATGAATAATAATCTGCCACTAACTCTCAAGAGAAATGTATACAACAGCTGCATCTTGTCGGTACTTACCTACAGAGCAGAGACCCAGAGGCTTAAAAAGAGGCTTCAGATTAAATTGAGGACGACGCAGCGAGCAACGGAAAGTAAAACGCTAGGTGTAACCTTAAGAGACAAGAAGAGAGCAGAGTGGCTCAGGGAACAAACCGAGGTTAAGGATATCATAGTTGAAATCAAGAAGAAGCCGGGCACGTAGCATGTAGGCAGGATAACCGCTGGTCATTAAGGGTAACTGACTGAATTCCCAGAGAAGACAAATGCACGAAGGGGAGACAGAAAGTTAAGAGGGCCGATGAGATTAAAAAGCTCGCCGGTATAACGTGGCAGCAGAAACCACAAGACTGGGTTGTTTGGTGGATCATCGGAGAGGCCTTCGTTTTGCAGTGAGCATAATCAAGGCAATGATGATAATGATGACGGTGATGATAATTCTGCAGCTTCAAAAATAAAGCAACGATTTTTTCTCGTCACATTTTATTGCGAATTAGTTGATGTGACAATCCAATGTTTTCTGCAATATCGCAATTGTTTTTCATAGCAGCCTATCTGCGCACATACCATTGCTGGGCACTTGCTGATGAGATGATATAGTGGATGTGACACACGACACGACTTAGTACACGTTGTTTTTGCTTTTCTTGCTCTCTCTCTCTCTCTCTTCCTCTCATTTTTCTCTTCATAGCGCGCCTTTCCGTGCTGGGTCACCCATTATAGCTACCCTCTGGTTAGCTTCCCTGCTACCTACGTTTTGTTTACTTAAACATGCAGCTATAGCTCCTATGTCCTCTGACATAGTATGTTGATGCTGCACCCTATACTGCCATATTCCGCAGCATTTGAACATCGCCTTTCGAAACCGTCTTTGTCATATTTGACGATAAAATTGTCACGCATATATTAGTAAATCATCGTGATAAATAATGGCAAGTAATAAATCATTCGGCAAGTGATAGAGTACCTTTTATTCCAGTCACTTCAAGTCAAGCGGAAGGTTTTTTTTTTTTTCATTTTGAACCTTCGCTTGTAGGATTAATTATCACAATGATCCACAAGGGTATTGAGAACTCGATCTCAAGTGCGCAGGCCATACCGACTCGATTGATTACTTTTGTTGGAATAACGCAAATGTCCCTTCAGTTTGACAGACCAATAAGGCTAAACACGGAAAGAGATAGGGAGAACTAGAGGATCGAGACCAACTTGGTAAAAGTGATCTGGCTTAGTGCGGTTCACTATGGAAGCCTCGCACACTCATTCCACAGGCATGGTTTAAATCCCGCAGTCCTTTTTAACCAAATGCGCTAATGCCGTCAACGTGCGTCTACATAAGTACATATACAATAAACTGGCAAACTAAGGTCCAACGAGTGCTCCTCTCGAGCTGTTGAACTCGGCAAAATATCGGTGACGCGTGAGTAATGCACTTAAATGTCTCATGAACGGTGCCTATTCTTTACTGATTGCGACCGTGAACAAAAACAATGATAAAACAAGGAACCCAAACACACACGCACAACATTTGGCAAATAATTCTCACCAGAACTTACTTCCCTCTTGTTCTTTTTTTTTAAGATGTACCGCGTTGTTTCTATGTAACACACGCGTGAAACAACAAAACAGGAAACAAAAAAATAAAA